GCCGGTGTTCTCATTCGATGGAACTCTTGTTTGTGTGCTCAAACATTAGTTCGTAGTAATCGTATCCTGGGAAACGATTGTTGCAACGCTCCTAGCACCGTGGGAGGCAACAAATACGTTTTAAGGAAATCGTGCGTAGCACGAGCTTTGACTAATTCTGCTTCATCTCCTTTCTTGTTTTTCTCTTGTCATTTTATTTAATTAATTTATTTTAATTAATTTTCTTTATTTTCCGAAACACACCCAACACTAACCCTATTGGCAAGCTGCAAATAACATCAGACTAACCCTATATAACAAATCCAATTACCCTATAATTTTCGTCCAATCTAGTGGAACATTTTTGAACCCTTCCACTCCTGATTTTGCCTATCAGCAATCTGCAATCTGCAAAATAGACCATTTTATCATAAAAAACACATGCACAAAACATAGTATACTGATATGCATACCGTATATAGATGTCCAATGCAATGAGAAAATAAAGGATAGGGTAAATGTTTCACTCAACTATTTGTATAGACTATGGAGTTGGATAGAACTGACCTTCCTTGCAGCAGCAAGCTCCTTCTTTATACCACCTGTATGAACATAAAATTGAATGAACTTATTGTTGCTCAATGGACTAATATGTAAACTAAAGTTAAACACTTAAACAGTTAAACCCACTCGCCATCATTGAGCGCCAATTCCAAAGCTTTCGTAAAACTTTCAGATGCTGCATCTATGTCATTGAGCCCCATGTATGTCTGAAAATTTGAAATATAGAACTCAAAGCTGAAGAATGCAATTCAGACTCTTAAGATCTAAATTGCTGAGGCAAGCTTCAAAAAATATTGATGATGTCATTAAAATTATTGAATTGTGAAAAAATTAGAACATACTTCATTGATAAATGATAATATAATAAAAAGATAAATGAAGAAAATATAATCATACTAAGCAACTTCAGCCAAACAAAAATTGACCTCCAGTCATCAAGTTTTGTTAAAAAAATGCAGCCTGACAAGTCAAAACAATGGCTACCTAACTGCCACGGAAAGTATAAACTGTTCTTTTCGTATTTACATTTCAGGATTGACAAGGTTTTAACATTTGACTGAAAGTTCAAAACAAACCAACCGAGAGTAACAAAAAAACATTATTACTAATTTTGTTAAGTACCTTTAAGTGAGTTCAAGGAAGTAACAAAAAAACATTATTACCAATTTTGTTAAGCGCATTAAATTAGTACCAACGTGTGCTTGGCGATAATAAGCTTTTGCATTATCTTTAACATCAGAAATGGCAGAGTTAGCATCAAATAGTGCCCCTTCAAAGTCCCCTAGTTTGCATTTGCATGCCTACGACAAGCATTATGAGTATCACAAATTTCATTACTAATAAGTTATCAAAGTATCCCCAGAAAACTGACAAAATCAGTAAGACTGTAAGCAAGAGAGTAGTTGAAAAACTCATAGAGCAATTTCAAAAGATATGGGATCTCATCTTCCTCAAAAATTCGGCACTCACTGTCCAATCAAAACAAGACTACAATCTGAGAATCAGAAAGACTGCAGAGAGCTACGTATATCACAAAAGCAAAACTCACCTTAATCAATTCCACTCTTTTCCCACGTAGATTAAGGACTAAAATGATAGATTTAATAGTTCGAGGACCAAAATGATATGGTGGTGATAGTTCAAGGATCATTCATGCATTTTACTCTTCTTTATAATAGTTGAGAGTAGCTGCGTTTTCAGCTTAAACTAATAAATTTCGGGTGAAATTTTTTGAGGTGCTACCTGATATTTTTTTAATGAAAATGTATGAACATGTTCTTCATGAAGTGTAAATTATGTCCAAAACTTTTCATTTTAAAATTCAATCTATAAGTCAGTTAAATAAATTATTGAAAAATACTGCGTTTTTTTTTTTGCATTTTTGGCACAATGTTTTTCAGCAATTTATTTTTATGACTTACTGATTGAATTTTAAATTGAAATTTTGTGCACACAATCTAAACTTGATGAAAAACATGATCATAAAATTTCATTAAAAAATTCAACTTGGAAGCAGATGAGTCTGATATGATTATTTAATTAGTTTGTTAATTATTTCCATTCACATATAGTTGATTGTTTGATTTCTTAATTTTTGATTGTTATCTATTGAGTGTTGGTGTTATAATTTGTTGATTTCGTCAACGAAAAATATCAATTAGAACTAAATTGTTAAATTTAATTAATTTCAAGGTGTAATATAAATGATTGAATCTGGATAGAATAAACAAAAAGAAAAAAGAAAAAAAATTAGAGAAAGCGACGGTAAGTAAAAACGATTCAATGGAAAAGTTTGTTTGTGTAAAGAAATCAAATTTTGAATATCCTCAAGATGAGAATTCAGAGAAGAAGAAGAATTTCCCTACCAAAAATGAAACGATTCAGAATGATCACATTATTGGAGGTGAAAATTTAGGAGTTGATAAAATTGAGTTAATTCCTTAATAAGACTAAAACATTGGTGAATTGCACAAATAGGATCACCACGTTTCCTTCCTAAATAAGGACCACCAATATTATAATATTATTGATTTAGATAGAAGAGGTTCTTACAATTTTTTTCAATGTTTTGATTTTTTTTGAATGGTTATTATTATTATGCATGTTAGTTTAGACAAAAATGTTTTATAATTTTTTTTGAAAATTAGGCCCATTTCATTTCTCCGCCCCTAAGCCCTCAAACAGTGGCCACTATAGCCGATTGTGACACGGTGATAGTCAGTATAAAAAATAACAGGATTGACATGAAGTTGACACGAATTTATCAACGGCTCTGTGCCAACTAGCTCATGCCAAAACGGTATTGACACGGATTTGGCGTATTCATGCCAAATCCGTGTCAATCCCATTATTTTTTTTTGTAGTGAGTGATGATGGCAATTATGGGTAAGTCAATCCCATTATTTTTTTTGTAGCTCATTTCCACTTGCAAAATTAGATTTTTTTTTGAAAATCAAATAACCATTTTATTGATAATCAGATTTTAACAAGAAACATAACAACTAAAATCTGAAGCATTACATCATAGCGTTCAATACTACACTAGGATGAGACAAAGAACAAAAACGTCATATAAAAGCACTCATGTTCGCTAACCCTGTAACAATGTAGACTCGTACCGCAGTGTGTCTGCTCATGCTACTCGAAATGGGTTCGGCTTGACCAGCCACCGAAAAAGAATTATTGAACTTGCTGGTTTTTCCAGCCACCGGTAAGGAGCCAAGTGCAGAAATTTTTCCGGTTTGACCAGCCACTGGAAAGAAAGCAATCCATCCAATGTCATCTTCCTGGATCAGCGGTGGTTCAGGAGGGGGGCGATCGGCCTCTATATCGATGCAGAAGAAATCCTGATCCATGATTGATAGAGAAGCCAATACAAACCTCTTACTAGCACACAAGAACACCCGACCGATGATGGCGGGGAATATAGATCTGACGAGCGACACTTCGTCACCGAAAATAATATCTCTAGACAACGCTAGGAAATAAACATATAGATAAAACTGAAAATACTGATTAAACGAAACTTTTTCCATGATTGAAGTCAAAAGAAGAGAAGAAAAGAAGGAAGGAAGAGGAGGAGGCGGCTAAGGCTTCCCTTCGCCGCTCCTCTCTCCCCTCGTATTTTTCATCCGTTTACTTTAAATCTTTTGCTTGGCTTCTATTAATGGGATTTTGCAAAATTAGATTCAGTATCATGATATCATCTATAACTAGACCTGCACAAAAACGGGTTCGGGCCGGGCTCGGGCCGGGCTTTTTATAATTTTTTTGCCCATCATATGTGGGCGGGCCCGGCCCGGCCCGCAAAAACGGGCCTAACCCCATGTCCATACCCGCCCATAAGAGCGGGCCGGGTAGTCCACCGGACCTCCGAGCCCGGAAAAACTTTATATTTTTCGAATTTTTTTTAATAATTTAAAACTAATATTACAACATTTAAAAAATTGTTAATATGCGTGTAAAGTTTATAGGTCTTTCACCACATACAAAAATAATACTTACACAAAAATAATAATGAGAAACTATATCTAAAATTTAAAATTCAAGCACAAAGTATTATCTTTAAGTACAAAAATAGATACTATATTAGTTGGGCTAGTGGTTCAGATCTAAAAACCTAAATTTAAACATAATAAACTATAAATATGTATAAAGATAAATTATATTAGAAAATATAAATGTACATGTAAATAAATAAATAAATTATATATATATATATATATAGAGAGAGATTGGATCATATGAGAATAAGATCTCATGAGAGAAATAAGAATCAATTAGAGCCATTGGATTCAAATATTATTTCTCCTAAGTTCGCTAATCGTCTAGGGGCATTACTGTCATTTACTCTTGTTCTCCTTCCAAGTTACGATCGTTCTCTGAATCAAAGTTTCCATAACCGTTTTTGTTTCCAATTTTACTCTGCGTCTTCGATCGTTCTTCCATATCTTTGGCCTTCTCTACTTGGAAGATTTCATCATTATTTTGTCCTCGATCTTCGCTGAATATCCGACATTGAATACAACCGCCATCGTCGAATAGCAAATTTGCTAACAATTTCATCTTCTCGCTATGGATCACAGTGAGTTTTTCAATTGATAAATTTCATAATTTAATCGTTTATATTATATAATTGCTGAGTTTATGTCGATTGATACCCTACTACTTGTTACCCTTGTTTTCCTTATCAGACTTTCTTATATAACTATTTCTTCTATTTCGCTGCAAATCTATTGTTGTTGTGTTGTTTGAAGGTTTTGCTTTTAATCCGATTCAATGTTGTTATGTCAACATATGTTGTTGCGTTTTTGCATTCCTGAAGTTTTTTATATTAATCGAACCTGATTTTTGTTCTTCCCAGTTTGCTGCACTTTTTACCTGATAAACTACTGATATACCTTATTCTTACACTTTTCAATTTTGAATGCACTAAGGTTTTATCTATTTATGAATTTTATTGATACTTGCTATTTATATATTTGTAGATTCTACTTACGAGTTCAGTTATTCTAATTCTCCACGAAACTCTTGTCATTCATCTAAAACTGAAGTTTCTCCAAACTTTACCAAATATTGGACTCCTGAGTGTGCTGAGAGCTATAAGCCTCATGTTGGTATGATTTTCACAAATGTTGCTGCTGGAGTTCAATTCTACAAACAGTATGCTACTCTTTGTGGCTTTGATATCCGCAAAAGTACCTCTAGAAAGAGTAGTGATGGAGCTTGTGTGTGGAAGTATATTCTGTGTAACAGAGAAGGATTCAAAAATCTGCCTAAACCTAGCAATATTGAATCCAGCTCTTGTGTTGGTGATGGAACTGAATCCATGAATACAGAATCTAGCTCTTCTAATTCTGAGAATGTTGCTGGCTGTAATGAGGAAGTGAAAAGCTCAGAACCAAAAGGCATTCCTTCGAATAAGAGACGTCGTGTATCAAATCGTGTTGGTTGCCGTGCACGTTTAGTTATGAGGTTACATGCTGGACATGGATATTTGGTTACCCGTTTTGAAGAGCGGCATAAGCATCCCATGACGTCTACCCCATCTCGCCCATTTCTAAAAGTAAATCGAGCTCTTGATGCTGGCCATCAAAATTTTGTTTTGAATTGTTCCAAAGCTAATATTGGAACAATGAAATGTTATCGTTTGTATAAAGAAACTGTGGGTGGGTATTCCAATATTGGCGCAACTGCTGTTGACTTTAAGAACTTCAAGCGTGATTTGAAGGCTTATGTTTCTGGTGTTGATGCACAAATGCTGGTTGATAAACTTTTTAGAAAGCGGGAGACTTGTTCTGAGTTTTTCTTCGCTTATGATGTTGATGCCAGTGATCAATTGACTCGTATTTTTTGGGCTGATCCTGTATGTAGAAAGAATTATGCTCTATTTGGTGATGTGGTCTCCTTTGACGCGACTTTTGAGACCAATAGGTACATGTTATTACATCGTTTTTGTGTTTGTATAGTATTTGTTTAAATGGTGTGCTTTTAAGTTTTAAAAATTGATAGTTGATGTCTGCTTTTATTATCTTCTCACTTGGTTTTTATTATGTGCACAAATATTATCTTCTGATGCATTTTTATATTTCATTTATTGTATTAGGTACAATATGGTTTTTGCCCCTTTTACGGGTGTAGATAACCATAAGAAGTGCATCACTTTCGCTGCTGGCCTGATCTCGAAGGAAGACATTGAGTCATATGAGTGGATTTTTCGTTCTTTTATTAGTGCAATGACTAAGGAACCAACGTGCATCATAACTGACCAAGATCCAGCGATACGCGCTGCTATTGAAAATGTCTTCACAGTCTCCCGTCATCGCTATTGCATGTGGCATATCATGTCCAAGTTAACTGCCAAGGTTGGTCCCACTCTTAGTCAGGATACAGAATTTTTGACAAAAATAAATAGTGTTGTATGGAATAACCATCTCCAAGTTGAATCTTTTGAAAGGAAGTGGATGTCTGTCATGGAGGAATATGACTTGTTAAGCCATAAGTGGTTCTCTCACATGTTTGACATTCGTAAGTTTTGGATTCCTGCATATTTCCGTGATTTATTTATGGCTGGAATGCTTAGGACAACATCAAGATCGGAGAGCGAGAATAATTTTTTTAATGAGTTTACCAATCCACATTTTAGTTTGGTTGAATTCTTTATGCAGTTTGATAGTGCCATGGACTCACAGAGGCATATTTATGCTCAACTGAACTCAGTTTCTGAGTCATCCATTCCTGTATACAATACTCCCTTAGGTATCGAAAGATTTTGTTCTTCAATCTACAATCTGTCTGTTTTCTATGAAGTGCAACAGGAGATTTCTGCTGCTTGCTTTTCTTGTCGTGTTTTGCGCGTGGAAACTGTTGGTGATGTTCTTCAGTACTCCATATCTGATGAACGGGGTCTGGTTTTTGATGTAGTGCACAATGTTTCTTCTGATAGTGCATCATGTAGCTGTAAGTATTTTGAAAGGTTTGGGTTGCTGTGTCGCCATATTTTTGTTGTTCTGAAGGACCTTAAGTTTGAAACCTTACCCTCCCAATTTGTGTTACCACGCTGGTGTAAGAGTTCTGTAATTAGGTCGAAGTCAAAAGTTGGTGACATTTTAGATGATCAATGTGCTTCTATGGAAAAAGATAAACATCAAGTTAAACATCTATGGTCTGATATTTATTTCTGTGTGGGATTTGTTGAGCATCACCCAGATTTGTTCAAAGAATTTGCAGACCATATCAAACTTCAAAAGGACAAGTTTATGTCCTTAGAGGCATCAAGTGGATCTAGTAGCACAAAAAACGACATCATTAGCTCATTCTATGGTTCTTCTATCCCGAGTGAAGTTAATGTGCATCCACCCGAGATTGCAAGGAACAAGGGCTGTGGGAAGAGAATAAAAGGTGGTAAAGAGAAGTCAATTGAAGCTTCCAAGAAGTCTAAAAGACTATGCCGCACTTGTAACGAGCTTGCTTTCCATGACAGCAGAAATTGTCCTCTAAATTCTTAGAAATAACCAAATTCAAGTTGTCTAATGTGTTGGAGTTTCAATGTTTCATGACTCGTTTGTTTTTTTCTGAATTGTGGTGAAGTTTTGCTTGTACCCAAGTGTTTACTTTCTGTTGGACAAGAATCATACATTACCCAATTCGTTTTGATTGGTTTTTATAATTTCTCAAAGTATCTTTCCTGATAAAGTTCTAATTCTTACTCTTGTTCACTTTTACTTTCGCTTCTCTGCACTATTATACACTACCTTGTGCATTGTTTTCCTTTAGAGTACACTTATGATAACTAATGATGCATGATTTTGACAAACAATGCGTACTTATATTAATGAGTAAGATTTTATGCAATTTGATGAGTGTATCAATGTTACTGATTCATTTAATTTTCATTTGACTAAATGATTTCCATTTTATTTAAATTTAATGCACTTATTTAAATTAACAAATATTTTTCACAACTTTCAAACCTCCAGGCTTAATGAAATTAACATATTCGTATATGCTCTAAACAATTTGCACTAATGTCATGGTATGACTTCTATTTTACAGTCATACTCATATTTTTGTGATCTACACTTTTGCACATTTGCTCCTAAGTGTTGATGCAGTGTGATTTAATAACTCCTAAATGGTTGGCTAAAGTATCTTATTTACTTGCATATTGGATTTTCTTTTGTGATGAAACAAAAAATGTTTTTTTGTTACATTGTAGCTCACTCTTTTCACTCTTAACTTCAATTTCAGCCATACATTACACAATTGAAGTGCACACTAGCTTTAAAAATAGATATAAGCAAAACTACATAAGTGCTATTCTGCTGTTAAACACCAAACCAATCCAAATTTTCAAATCCAAAACAAGAGATATAATAGCAAGTATTTAAATGTCATTGTTGTGTTGAACACCAAACCAAATCCAAAACAAAAAGTACATGAAATTATTTAAAAGTGTCTTGACATCACTTATCACTTCTTCACTTCTTCTTTTTTCCAAACTCCTTCACTTCATTCAAGTTTTTTTCCTTCATCTCGTTGACTTCTGTTGTGGCCAGTGTTGCACAGTACTTCTTTCTTAAAGCATTCAACAGCTTTGCATCTTCCTTTTTAATACCACAGTCCAACGCTTTTGTTCCTTGACCATTGTATGTTTCCATGTGTCTCATGCTCCATAGCCCGTTGTTGTGCTCATTTTTCAGTTCCCTCCAAGCCATTTGTAGACAGTTTATTGATGGTTCACGAAAGACCTTGCCGTTATTGTCCAGTCCTCTCTCACTCAGAAATTGCACAAACATGTCTCTCTATTTGCAAAATCAGTAACAACGAATATACAATGTCATATTGCTCAAACTTGTTAAGTGGGAATTGGGTCAGATGAATAACCGCTACACTTATTAAGTAATAATTGTAATTATATTCACACTTACCAATACTAATGGCGTCTCAGAATATTTGTGCTCAAAATCAATTTGCAGTGATGAGCTATCGAGTATCTCGACGTGCTGATTTTGCATGTTGAAGCACATAATGTAAAAGTGTTCAGGTTGCACAACTGGAAAGAAAAACTGCACATAAAGCTGCTATAGTTATATTTTGCACTAATATCATAAGTTGATGCACTAATTATTATATTTTTTTTCTCACTACTATAGTGACATTTTAAAATTCAATTACCACATCCACATCCTCCAGTTTAACTTCAGGTTTCAATGCTTCCAGTGCAAAATCTAGTGTCTGTTTGAGAACACCGTACATCTCACTATCTTCAATAGGATCCTCCATTGTATATGGCTGCAAAACATTTTATTATCATTTTTTTGTCAAACAGTCTATACAAGCATATGTTATACGTAGTAATAACTATTTTGATAAGCATTTATCTTATAATAAGTAATTGGTTAAACACTTACACAAGGATATGATCTTGCAAACAGTCTACATGGGGAGTCTTTACTTCGTAACTTCTCATTACTATTCAAGTATACTGTCCATGCATCAAGTACCTTCATGGACATGTGCTCTTTATCACCCAGTGTAAGCATGTCAGCACGCATTATAGTCAAATCTTTGAACTTGAAAATGATCTCATCCCTACATTAAAACATAGATTAAAGTTCCCACAAAATACTCACTTCATTCTAACTTTAAAGCATGTCAGCACACATTACAATACTCATTTCATTCTAACTTTAAATCACGTTAAAGTTTATTGATGCTCTTTTTATATACTTACTTTTTCTTTGCATCTTTTTGCATGACCCATCTGTAGATTAGCTTTTCAGTTGCATTTAAACAGTCACTTGGTTCTATTATCCTGTCCATGTTTTGAGATTTTACACCTTCAGCTTCTTTTCCTCTTCTTCTTGACCTGAGATCCATCCTTCCTTTTCCTAAAGCCAACTCACTGTTCTTCTTACTATTGTTCCTCTCCGGGTCCTGTTATTCAAATAAATCACAGTTTTTATATGTTCTTTATATACATATTTATTGATGTTAAATTTTAATTACCTGAAGACTTGCTCCTTCCTTCTCAGTTATCATGTTATTAGTTTCCTGAAGACTTGCTCCTTCCTTCTCAGCTATCATGTTATCTGGGACTTCACCCTGAGTTTCTATCTGCAATGAAATTATCAAAATGTTAAAATTCATTTTATGTATTACATTTATTGTGTGTTATAATGATAGCATACCTCTTTGTCGCCCTGTGGTTCTTCACTTCCTTCCACATTGTTCTTCTCCACACTAGCAAAGCTTTGCTTTTGAAAGTATTCATTTTCAAATTGTGCACATACCTCAGATATGGGGCCCCATTGTGTTGCTTCATCTGGTGTAAGCCCAATTGAGAATGAGGGAATGTCTTCAATGCCTTTTTCAGAAAATGCCTTTTTAGCCATTGCATTTATTACCCTCTCAATAGCTGCAATGGTCTCAGGATTGCTCCAATATTCATCATCTTCTCTCTGCTCATTGTTTCTTCGATCTTCTTCTTCCCTAACATCCACAGTTTGTTTCCTCTTTCCCAGGCCAATTATCTGTTCTGCAGATTCTTGCAGCTTTTTGAAGTTTTCATTATGCATTAAGTTTTGTGGTTCTTTTTCAAAGATATTGATCACTTCAATCACATTGGCTGCTATTTCTTTGCACAATTGTGTCAATCTCATCACATTTTCCTGTTTATAATGATTCATCTGTGTTAGTTTTATGACTTGCATTGCACTTAAATTTTCATTCATTGGCTATGCACTTTCATACTACTTGATAGGCATGTGCACTTTTATGAAGCAAAAATTCATCTATATATAACTCAACCAAAATGAAATGCATATACTATCAGTTGGTCACCAGAAATGATGCATGTTATAGTTCAATTTAATGCACACACACATACATTAAACAACCTCATGCTCAATCATTACATTTACATGACATTTTTAATGCTAGATCCAATGCACACATTCTTAAAGGCTCACATGCACATTTATACTTTACTTCACGAATTCCTGATAATGACATCAAGTATTGAGTCACTTGTATACTCCTACATCTACTTCTAAAAAACATATATAATTATTCATCTTCTTACCTCAGAATTGTCTTCACCAGTTGATTCTATATGCAGTATGCACCCATTTCCAGCTTCCTTCTCTTCAGTCTGCAGATTACCAACACATTGTTCGAAATCCATTGGACCAACACAAAATCCCATTCCAAATCCTCCAGTTTCAATCTCAAGCACTTCTCTCTCCCTTAGGAATTTCGCATTCCATCCCTTTATAACTGGTAAAGACCTCTTCACTTTTCTTCTGAACAACTCAACTCTATCCACATAAAACAACTGCAAGGAATTATTGTTAATACACTTATAAATAAGATAAACCACAAACTTTAAAAAAAACCATAGAAAATGTGCAAGCTTACCATCAAAAACAGCAATGGGCCAGTGAAGGCTTTGTCCTTCTTCTTCTGCCATGACCACTTAGCTTCAACCAAAAGAGACAACACATGATCACACCAATCCAAGTCCTTTATTTTTTCAACATCATGGAGATTGTTCATTATTAATGGATTCGCATACCCATTCGGGGTGCTATCAAGTAGAACAGACACAAGAAGGACAACAAAATGTCTGATGAACCACTCACCACCTTCTGTCCTAAGTCTCATTTGAGCACAAATATCTGAGGGACTGATTTTGGTTTCTTCTTTATTAAACAATGCCTTCCATTCGCTTAACAAATCACATTCTTCACTTTTCTTCTTTAAAACAATATTTTTACCACCCAATGGGAAACCTAAAACTCGAGCAACATCTTGTTCTGTAATATGCACATTTGTGCCATTGTCTAGCACCAATGAACATTTTTTAGCATCAAAGTTATCCACCAACCAAAAAGCCATTCTTCCGGGAATTTCTGAAATGTCCAAATCAAATAGTGCACCAAAACCTATCTTTCTAATATCCTTCTTCTGAAGTTCAGTCATCTTGTTTAGTGCTTTAACTAATAAGTGTGGTGATGACCTTGTTCTTAAAGCTCTAAATCCTGCTTTTTTTTCTTTGATACTTACCTTTTCTTTTTCACCTTCCCCATCCTCTACTAGGCTAGTACCTGCAACTTCTTGAAGTGGTCGTATCTCAAAGTCATCGTCACTCTCATCTTCTTCTACTTGTTCTTTCTGCCTCTTATCCCTCCTTTTTAGTTTTGCATCTTGTAACATTCTCCTTTTTCTGACAACAAGTGTCACTTCTTCCATTTTCCCTTTGTCCAAATTTGCACCCTCAGAGCCTGCACAATTAATTTCATTGCACTATTACGTAACGTAATAATCACTTTCTAAAAGTTAGAAGTATCATTCAATCACTTTGTGTACCTTTCGGTTATCAATTTCCTCAGATTTAATGCACTTATTGACATTTAAAAAAGTGGTACATACACAATCTTCATAACTCCGTGCTTAACATATTCTCATATGGTCTAAAAAATGCACTCTAATATCAGGGGATGTTTTTTTCCTTGAGTTAACTCATGTTTAGTGACCTACTATTTTGCACATTATTTCTTAAGTGTTGCACTCTGATGTAATACATTGTGCAATGTTTTTCTCTGTATTGCATTTATGGTATATTGGAATGCA